ATAAAGGTGTGTATATATATAGTAATTGCCAAAAAAATTCCTTCTTTTCGTAATACAAAAATACAAACAAATATAAAGGAGAGAGATGAGCGACACTATGGAGAGAGGTAAGAGAGTAAAGATCATGAATTGGGTAAAAATAGCAACTGAATGGAATATAGAAAAGTCAAATTAAGTAACAATAGATGCAATACAAGAGCAAATTGAGTAGCAATAGACACAATACAAGAGCAAATTTGTATACAAATAATAAAAAAAAATAGAAACACAACAATCAAGATAAAAATACAAAAATATAGTAATTGCCAAAAAAATTCCTTCTTTTCGTAATACAAAAATACAAACAAATATAAAGGAGAGAGATGAGCGACACTATGGAGAGAGGTAAGAGAGTAAAGATCATGAATTGGGAAAAAGATTTTGTCAAGTTTTATTTTGTCTAGTAATGTTCAATGACCTTTTAAATTAAATGTCATGTGGATCATAAAATAATGTATGGTTAAAAATTTGAAATTCATTTCAAATCATACACTTAACAGAAAAGTCAAAATTAATAAAAGTAAAGCTAACGGTATCCACTAAAATAATTCGATTATTCTAGATTTACATCAAATATCACCCTATTCGAAAATTAGCGCTGGCCGCTGGTGAGATTTTTTTTTTAATTCAGTGAGTAAATCACCACTGTTGACATTTTAATTTTAAATTAAAAAAATTGACAGTGGCATTGGCAATTTTTTAAATTAAGACGTTGACAATGACAATTTGTACATTGAATTAAAAAAAAAACCTCTCCAAAGAATGTAATTTTTCAAATAGGGTGATACTTGGTGTAAATGTTCAATAATCGAACTATTTTAATGGTTATCGTTAGTTTTGCTTTCACTACTTTTGATTTTTCTATTAAGTGTAAGATTTGAAATGAATCTCAGTCATACGTTATTTTATTATTCAAATGGCATTAATCTTAAAGACCATTGAACATTACTTGAGGGAATTGATTGAATTTTTTCCCCATGAATTGTACTTTATAAAAGTATAACTACGAATGATGAACATATAGCATATTTGATATACCATGTAAAATTTTCTTTTAGGCGCTAACTAACATCGCATCATAACAATCATTGTAATAAAGTCCAAATTTGCCCAAAAAAAATGATGTGCTAGGATGAATCAATCCTTCATTTTAAAGTGTTCTTAAATGATCAAATCCAATTTAACTTTAAAAGGGTCATGGGCGGATGCAGGATAGCTATTACTTTTTCCAATCTATTTTTTTATAAGAAAAAATCTTTTCAATCTAAATTCAAACTTATAAGTATTGTCAATTTGTTGACATTTCTAACATATGCTTATATAAAAGTACATAATTTTACGATAAGTTATAGTATATTCAACACCAACACATTGTCAAGCATATTTGAGTTTATTGTTAAAATTATCTTAATCAACATTTATATCTTTATCTACATTAATAAGAAAATTCAATTAATTAAACATATTGAATATAAAATACTAATAATATTTAGATTCATTTAAAATATTATCACTTTGAAATTTGAATAAAGTCGTGTGACTGATTTTAAGTAGTAACTG